AACGCGTCTTGTGACGAGTCCGGCGCCTTGCCGCGGATGCCTTGTATAACGCTGGTGTTGTCGATACATATGTGGATTGGATGACCGCGATTGGTGAGCAGAGCCCTTCTGAGGCCGGTTCGCGCCCCTTCGACCTCGGCGTCGAACACTTCTGCTAGTCCGAGTCGGCCGCACCCTTGTGCTATGCGTTTGGAGTCTCGGTAGATGACGAAGCCGTACCCCACGGCTCCGTTCGTCGCCCTGGAGCCGTCCGAGAAGACGATCATATGGCTTTCCGGTACTGTCTTTAGCCAGCGCTCGAAAGCTTTCGCAGCCTCTTCTTTGCATTGAACTACTATCTGATCCTGTGAGCTTGGCAGGTACTGTGATTGAAGGAACGCTGGTCTTCCGCATCTTGGCAGAAGTTCAGCCGTCCGTTGTAGTCTCGTCTGTTGCTGTCCCTGCTGGGAGAGCCGCGCGACTAGCGGGTGTCGGCGATCAATCCTCTGTAGTCGGACTGCGGCCCGTAAGCGGACGCCCTCTAAGGCGACTTTGGCTGACGGTAAGCCGGCGTCTCGGAGGAGGCTACTGGTTGGCGTTGTCCTCCAGACAGGCAGAACGGCCCTTGCTGCCGCTGTAATGACGCTGTCGATCTTCTGCACGAGCCCCTTTTGGCCTGTGTTGACGGGTCTTCCTTGGAGAGGCGGATTCGTGTCTGTCTCCGCTTGGCGTCTCGAAGCCGGCTTCGTGATACCTGCGTACCATGTTTCGGCGCCGAAGAGCGCGATCGGCAGTACGCAGGAGACGACGGCTTTTCGCACGGCGGCCGCTGGGAGTCCCCTCTTTGTGTTCGTAAGCTGTCTCAGATGTTGAGCTGCCCTCTTTGCTGCAGCTACTTTTGCGTCGACATGGTGCCGGAAGGACAGTCTCTTGTCGAACCAGACACCCAGCCAGCGTACAGGTTTCGTCGAGGCCTTGACCACCAAATCCCCCGCCCGGACCTCTGGCAGCTCCGCTGGCTGGCCGTGCTTCCTAGTAAAGTGGATGACCTCGCACTTGCTCGGGTCAAAGGAGACCTTGTTCTCCAAGCCCCATCTGAGAATGCCGGCTGCGCTTCGGTTGAGTATTGCGACGTTGCTCTCCAGGGAGGGGCTGATGGCCAGAGTGGCGATGTCGTCCGCGTACCCGAATCGCGCGTTCGGGTCGTCTTCAAGTATCTCTGCGATGTAGAGCAGAAAGGCAATGGGAGATAGTGGTGACCCCTGAGGCAGCCCGCATGACAGCGGGAAGTACTCCGTTGTGCTTTCTTCCAGTCGGACTCTAGCGGTGCGGTTGCAGCAGAAGCTAAAGATCAGTCTGGTCAGGCCATGTGGCCATCCCTGCTGACGCAGTCTAATGACGAGCCGGTTCCGAAGGACGGAGTCGAACGCCCCTTTTACGTCCATAGTCAGAAGTGTCGCCGTGAGTCCTTTTAGGAGGGCCATCTCGATGTCGTGGGTGAGGCAGGTCGTCAGATCGACGGCTGACCTGCCTTGTAGAGCCCCGATCTGTTGCGGACTGATGATGCGCTCGACAATCGCCAGGGACGCCATCCTTCTGGCTATCAGTCGCTCTAGTCCCTTGCCCAGGCACGAGAGGAGCGCGATCGGCCGCCAGGACCCGGGCTTGGAGGCATCCCTGCCGGCCTTCTGGATCATGACCACCTCAGCTCTGCGGAAGGGCAGAGGAAAGTGGCCGGCCCGCATACAGGACTGGAATAGCTGCCTGACCGGTTCCGAGATGACATCCCAGCATGCCTGGAGGAGGCGTGTTGTGATGCCGTCCACACCAGGGGTCGTTGTCTTTGTTAAGGTGGCCGTCTTCACTTCTTCTCCGCTAACATTGTCCTGCCAAGTAATCGCTCGCCTCGGGACGACGGGTACGTCAAACGGGTCACCCGGTGCGTCATCTTCCGCACTAAACCTGTCGAGAAGGGCTCCCCGAAGCGCTTGAGCCTTTTCGTTAGTATCCTCGATCGTCTGGTTGTCCACAACCAATGGGGGTGCTCTGGTCAGTAGGCTCGCCTTCCGCCAACCCATGATCTGGTACAGGTCCCGGTCTGAAGCGACTCCATCGATCTTTCCGGCCCAGTATGCTCGCTTAGCCTTCCTCACCGTGCTCAGGAACGCCTTTCGTTTCTCCATTAGATAAAGGTGCGCATCTTGCTCCGTCTCCCAGGCTTGTTGGTTGCGGGCAGCACGGTATGCTCTGTGGGCCTCTGCGCATTCCTCCGTCCACCAAGCCGCGCCTTTACCATGTTTTCCTCTCTTCTTGCCGACCGCCTCAATGGCTCGGGAGAAGAGCTCGACGATGTGACTTGCCTGCCCGTCCAGGTCTTCCGGAGTAGGTTGATCCCCCAGATTGGGCATCGCAGCTAGCCCCCCTTCGATCAGGTCTCTCAGCCGAGGCAGCGCCGAGTCGGGCACTGACAGTGGCCGTGGCTGCGGGTGGCCCTCTCCCTGTGACACTGGGCGTTTGAGTAGTGGTATGACGGCCACGATGGCCTCGTGGTCAGCTCCCGGGTGTAGCTGTGGGCTGACCTGCGCGTGCGCAAAAGGGATATTAGAGAAAGCCAGGTCCAGGACATGTCCGCAATCCTGGGTTGCCACCCCAACTTCGCTGATAAGAGAGAGATTGTGGCCGTCTGCCCAGCCTGCGATGTCATCTCCCCGGTTCCCGTTCCTCGTCCCGGGCTCCCAAGAGTAGTGATGCGCGTTGAAGTCACCCGCGATCAAAGCTCGCTCCGGGGGTTTGAGTTCTAGCAGTATCCCTGTTGTGCGGCTGTGGGGGTCGCGGGGTTGTCTGTACACGTTGACGATAGTCGTCGTTTTGTCGACCACCAGCCACAGTACGTCTCTCGTGTGGACAGGCCTCTGCTGCTCCACCGTCATCCCTATCCCTTTGCGTGTGTAGGTCAATACTCTTGGTCTGGTTCCTTCGCTGTCCCAGAAGTCGACCGGGACGAAAGAGTCGAAACCCGGGTGCGTGTTCAGTTGCACGTTTCCGTCCTTCCAGCCCGTCCAGGGTTCCTGGACGAGGACCACATCTATCTGAGCCTCCCAGCAGAGCTGCAGGAAAGCCGTGTGCGCCGGGGAGATCTTTCCGACGTTGCCCTGCGCAACGCGTAGCATCCGTGGGGTCGCCGCTCTCGGCTTACGTCTCCGAGTCGAGTTCGAGGTGGGTGTAGGCATTCGCGACGTTGTAGTTTGGCTTCTGTGCTGCCCGTTGGCTCCTGCTTGGCATGGGTAGCACGGGACGGTCGATGGAGGTGTTGTCGGGGGAGTCTTCGCCTTCGCCTTCGTCCGCCTCGTCTTCATCCATGCTGCTGCTGTCAGTGCTTCCGTCACCGAGGCAAACGATCGAGCTTGCGGAGGGCGTTCTCGTGCGCGCGCGCTTGGCGCCGGGTTGCTGGTTCTGGCTGGTGGAGGTAGGGACGCCTGCCGCCTCCTGGCTACTGTCGGATCGAGTAGCCTTGTACAGAGTGTCCGATGCTTTCTGGCCGGCCTTCCGGATCCGAGCCCGCTCCTTTCGACCGGGAAGGGAGACGACGCCGTTTACGGCCGAGGGCCTCGCTGGGCAGTCTGTGTGGCTGGCTTGGAAGGGGCCGCAGCAGTTGGCACATTGGGGCCTGGCCATGCAGGGTCCCGTTTCGTGTGAATCGGAAGGTCTTCCGCAGTTGCTGCAGATCGGTCGTCGTCCGCAGAACCGGTTGGAGTGGTAGCCCTGGCAGCCGGGGTCGTGTCGGATGAGCGTCCTTCGTTTCTTGACGGGCAGAGATCTGCCGCTTTGGTTGAAGAGCCTGAAGGGCGTGACCTCTGATGTGAATGATATGAGCCAAGATATTTCGTTCGTGACTGGGTTGGGCCCAAGGCGGGACGGTCGAGCAAGGACAGGCTTCTGTCCTGTCTGTGCGAAGACCTCATCTTCAACGAGTGTGGCTGGGTCCAGGACGTCCCCGCCAATGCTGTGTAGTTTTGTTGGGCATCGCGGCACAACGTAAGTGTACCACTTGATAGGCGTCTCGACCTGGTGGGCGCCGAGGCATTCCGCCAGCTTTGCCTTACTTGCAAGTAGTCTTTCCTGTATTTGCTTGTTTCGCGGCTTCAGAGAGTAACCTGTGCTGATATGGTAGACGTGGGGAAGGTCCGCTAGCCCCAGGCCAACGGCCTTACAGACGATCTGTCGTACGGCGAACGGTGCGATCTTCCGAGCGGCCGCTAAGCTTTCTTCCGGGACGCGGGCAAAGATGCGGAGGTCCTCCTTCGGCTGCGCCTGCGGCTGATCCTCGGCGGGGAGTGTGGCCTTCGGGCGGGCAGAGCTCTGGCAGCTCTGGCCGCTCCGGGTCGCCGCAGTGGTGTTGCCCGCCATCGGTGCGACGACAGCCGCCCAACTCCGGGCCGCTATTGGGCTTGTCTCGTGATTGATCAGTCTCTTGAGGGTTTGAATGACATAGGCAGTGGCTTCTTTCGCGATCTGCTTTCTAGAACCGTCAAAGCTGGCGACAACGCTGTCGACGGACCGTGCAATGGTCAGAAAGACGTCTTTCCGTGCCTCGTACTGTCTAGCTTCTTCTGCAAGGGCTGTCAAGACGGACCCTGTGGCAGATCCGCTCGGAGCAGATGCGGTAGAGGCTGCGGGCCCCTCGGCCGAGGTAGGGGCGTCGGTGGTGGCATCAAGCTGGCTTCCCGTTAGGCTGGGCCGGGTCGGCTGTGCCTCGGCGTCGCGGCGTCGCTTAGCTCTTGAGGTGGGGTTCGGCTCCGGAGGTGTCCCGGAGCCTGGTTCGGGGTCGGCTTGGTCGGCCGACATCAGTCCGGTGCCCGACGGCGGCTGTGAGGCCATCGCGGATGCGGGCTCCGGCAAGGGGAGGTGAAGAGTTTTCGGCTGTTAGTAATTTGGTGGTAGGCTCACTCATTCACTAACAGCAGATGCCAAGAAAAATTAGGCGAGAGGGAAGTTGAGGCCTTGCCATTGACATCCCAAGTGTACGTATCAAGCTAAACAATGCATTCATTTATTGCCCTAGAGCGCATTTATGAAAGGGTTTCGACGAAAGTCTTTCTATTGCAAGCTCCGGCCTTTCACAGTCACTCCTTTTCGAGTCTGACGCATCTTCGCAGGAAGTCCTCCAACATCTAGGAGACGGCCGCGCAGTCCAATACGCTGTGAACGCCTACTTTAGCACAATCCACACCTGGCTACCCATCGTCTCCAAGAAGCGCATGAACATGGGCGTGGCCCTTAGCCAGGGCGGCCCGGACCTGGCCATGCTCTTCCTCGCCATGAAGCTTATAGCCACCCGCCCGACAGATGTCCTCGCGGGTTCCCAGCACATGGCAATCTACCGCGCCGCGAAACGCTTCATGTCCCAGCTGGAGCAAAGCGGCGCCACCTCTGTCATGGTTCTGCAATCCATGGCACTCATCTCCTATTTTGAGTACGCGCACGCCATATACCCAGCTGCGTGGATCACCGTCGCCGCGTGCGTGCGGTATGCCGATTTCCTCGGTTTGCCTGGGTTTCACGAGGGGAACGTCATTTTGGCTTCGCCTGTATGTTGAGTTCTACATAGTCTGCTCCATCTGAAGAAATCTGGACACGACGATTAACGGTTTGAGAACAGACAACGTGGACGGAGCTCGAAGAGCGCTCGCGGACATGGTGGGCCATCATCAGCCTCGATCGCATCATCTGCCTCGGCAACAAGAAGCGCTACCTCTCCCCCGAGCCGCAAGACAACGAAACGTACCCCGTAGACGACGAGGCATGGGTACGTACCATTCTTTCTTATATCAAACAACGAAGCAAACCATCTTGACTAACACGCAAACTCAGGACGAAGGCCGCGTCGGCCGCGCAGCCCACCATAACATCACCTCCCCGCCGCCCTCCCCGCTCTCCCCCTTCTCCTCCCTCTGCCGCTCCGCCCTCATCGCCGGCAAAATCATAACCCACGTCCGTAAAGCCACCTCAGACCGTAAACAGAACCCGCTCGCCTCGCCCGCCGACGCCATCGCCGAGGCGAACGCCCTGTCAAAAACGCTGTTCTCTACTCTGGAGTACTTGCAAAAGTCCCCCGCGGACGAGAGGCCGCTGCCGCTGTCGCTGCCCCTACCCCTCCTGGCGCCGCGGTGTGTGCTACTCTCCGCTGCAGTCCTCTTGCATGACTTTTACTGCTGCCCCGCCTGTCCCGACGGGCGGCTGAAAAGCCCCGAAGAGACGGCGCAGCAGGCGCGTTCTGTCGACGTCTTGTTGAAGATCAGCAAGGATATCGCTGTGCTGTCGGAGGAGCTGCTGCTGCATTTCTCGCGAACGGAAAGGGATGGTGATGATGACATGAACATGAACGATAACGGTCATCATAACCACCGTGAGGGGCAAAGCGGTGGCAGCGATATCGGAAGCGTGAGCCCGCTGATTCTGGACGCGCTCTACGGTGCCGCTAATACCCTCGCCTGGCTGCTCAGGGAGGAAGGGACGCCCGAGTGCGAGGACCAGATGAACGTCATCAAGCGGTGCTTGGAGAGGCTTGGCTCGCGGTGGAGGTTGGCGGGGGAATACGGGCGGATGCTGGAGCAGCAGGATTTTGCGATGATGATGCAGGATAAGGGGCACTCGACATTGCGGATCATTTGACTCTGACGTAACTGAAAAGGCGGTCACAGGATATTGGAACGTCAAGCTCTGGGACAGAGACGTTTCGACCTTTGGGTGAGATTTCTCCTCCTTGTTGGGTCTTGTTGGTATTCCTATCACAGGAATTGGTTCGAACCGTGGGTGACGAAGAGGTCAAAATCGATATATATTTAACTTCTGCGTGAGGTGTAAAAGGGAGGTTCCAACCGTAGGTTGGGTAGACAGTGGATCTCGTAAGTACGGTCTGTAAGTGGCCCCTGCGCGGGCCCCTTGCCTCGAGGTCGAATTGGGCTTCCAATCCGACAGGTCTTTTTGAATCATGAGCCAGGAGCGGGGAATGGGGGTGTGCATCTTTTTTTTTTTTTGAAAGTGAATGCTCAGGGTAGATGATCCTCATCACAAATATCTTACTGCTGCCTCCTGCCTCAAGAACGCTGCTGTCATCAAATAAATTCAAGAGACTCGACGTTTCGAAGTACAGTATCTCAGGCATCGCATGTTCAGAATGTTTGCAGTTGCCATCCCGGTTGGGAGTACCTTTAATTTCCCAGACTTTACACGGGATGGGCCGCCCTTTGCAAGTTTGTTTCCAAGGATGTCTTGAATCCTAGATGAGCCATAGGTGGTATTCTCAAAGTGCCTTTGCCTTGAACTCTAGTCGAGGGGGGGAAAGAAGCGCGTAACAAGAGGTTTGAAGATGTTCCAGCGTGTCTGGATCCGATTGCACAAGAGAGGGTATTTTTACCGTTGGTCAAGCTTTTATCTGTGAACAACATATTTCAAATAAGGGTGAACGTGCTCCTTCACATAAGAACTCCCACTGGACCCTCGAAGTAATCAATGAATACCTTGGCACTGGAAGCAGAGGAAGGAAAGCATCATGCATCTCTTTTCTGCCGTATTATGATAGACACAATCGCGAGATCTTATTCTCTGGTTCGTGATGGGCACCTGCCTACTCTATGAAGCAATAGCAGAATCCACATCACCTTTCCTTTTCTCTTTTCTCATCTTGATAGAATTCAGCCCGATAAGGTCTCTGATGGAATATCGCTAGGAAGAGTCCATTTAGAAGGTGGGCTGGACCGTTGCAGACGACCCTTCCGCCCTTTGAAGAAATCGATGGCCTTTACCCATTTCTTCCTCGTTCCCGATTCACGCACTTCAACATACAATTGTCAGACTTTGTTTCGACGAAAAAGCTGCCATGCTGACGTGTGTATTAACGTCCTTGTCTTTCTTGCTCCCTCCCTCTCAGCTGTCAAGAAATCACCCGGCTTCTGCTCTTGGGCCTCCAGCCCCTCCCCTGTCCTCGCTCAAGTCTTTCCCAGATCCCTTTAGTTCTTTTATTCAACGACTGTACTTTTATGAACGAAGACTTGCTTTGAGGGCAATTTTAGAGCAGACTAATTATAACTTACTATAACGGCTGTTACGGGCTAGACCCGATTAGTGGATCCGGGCCTCAGGCCGGATACTGCCAGACCTCACCGCGCTGCCTTCGCGGAGGTCCCACTTGAGCGCTTTTCCTCCGCGGAACCCCCGCTCTAGAAAACCTCTACTCCTTAGCTTAGATTCTCTATATTGAAATCACCCCTACGTGGACTCACGAGGGCTGGACTCTTAACAACGGCTTCCGTGAGAAGTTTCAGCACCTATAGTCACATGAGACTTCCTAGCCTCTATGACTTGGTGTGATCTTCTTTGCCGGGTTTTCCTTCAATTCAAAAGCCTCAATGCGTGTTGTTCTGTGTCCCTAGCTTTGGAAATGATACCCTGTTTTTGCCCACCACTCTCCCCTACTCAAACTCCCCTTCGGCCTTCGCTTCACGCTCTCCCAACGGCCAGGGTAGATACCGAAGGGTCTGGCGTTTCTTACCCTAAGATATTGTATCATTAGTCGAAAGAGATACATGAAATATCCGCAAATGCATTTCTGCACAACGAAGTAAACGTTTTCCGTTCTTCATCTTGCTGAGTGAGAGGAAGTGAGTTCGCACTGTGTTGTGCATGTACCCAGGTACCCCATATTTCCACGTCGATGCACGGACACAAGCCAATGTACCACGTACAAAGCCCACCAAAACACACCAAAAAAAGGGCCTGATTGACGTCGGAATAAGCTCATCGTCCCCACTCGAAGCATTTCTCCATCCCGTCTGCACGGTCGTGGACCCAGCGCCCCCCCGGAATACCTTACCTCAACGTCTTCCCGCCAAGAAAAACTCGACCAACACGAAAACTGATGGTGCGCTTCACCGTGAAAATCGTATTTTCATATACAATAACCTTGATGATTAAAGATGAGTACTGAACACGATAGGCCAGCCCAATGGTTCCTCTACATTTCCCAAACTAACCCCGAAAAAAAAGGCTCGTAGTAGGACATGAAAAATGAAAGTTAGAAGAAGAACAAAACGAAGAGTAAGGAAGGAAGGAGGGGATAGGGGGGTGACACTCACATTATAACTCACAGCCCTGTTCGGAATCAAACAGCGTACCACCTCGGTTAAACCCTGCCTCTGAATTCATTGGAGTATTTGTTCTAATTGTCATTCAGCTCGACTAAACATCGCACACACCTTCGACCTGATCCGTCCTATCGACTCTGGAATCCCCCCCCCCAAACCACTGCTGGCTGTGCTAGTGACAAGAAACCGAGGCTGAAATGGCGTGTATACCCTCAGGGGCCGGATGTCTAAGTAACGCAGGAGGTTGAAGCAAATTGAGAAGAACAACAAGACAAAAAATGTCACGAAACAGGAATGGTATCATCACTTGTCAGGCACCTTGCCACGTGCTTTCTCACGTGGATATCACATTCACTTAGTACATAGACTGCTCTCATGTGCTCATTCCAGATGGGTTACTTCAAGCCACGTTAACCCACTTCATATGCCCATTGCTGCGTGCCATAACTCGTGACAAAAAAGGTACCATTTGTTGGACAATACCTTTCCTGCGTACATCGGTTCTGACGAGCAAAAGTGAAGAAGACTTTGAGGAAACACACCTAGCTAAGAGGTCTTGATTGAGAAAAGTCATAATACAATCCCAATTCCGTCTCTTTTTCTTCTTCTTTTTTTTTTTTTTGCGGCCTTTCACTAATGCTAAACAGACCAGCCCTTTACTCAACGCAACTTCACACAACCAACTCAAGTCAAATGACCAGAGTTCCGCCCTCAATCAACACAACGTTGGGCTCAAAGTTGCGTCGATGGCGTTAAGTGAAGCGCTATAACAGTCTTCTCTTTTTATTTTTCATTTTGTGACCCCCCAATCTGTTTTCTTCCCTTTCGTATTTTTTCAAGCCAAACACTTTTGCACAGCATTAAGACTAAAAAAAGTGTTCTCATCCGGGTTTATATTCCATTCGAATAATGGGGGCACTTGTTTCTAAACAGTCCCGTTACTTTTTATACCGTCCTTTTCAAGACATTTTTTTCTCCTCCTTTTCTTTTTCCTTCTCTCTCTTTCTCTCTTTCTCTTCCACTCATCGGACAGACAGGTTCGTATGAAAACCTTGAGAAAGAAATAATAAAACTCAATCTCAAAAAACAAAGAGACGCCAAACAAGTGGTACAACGATTCAAAAGCCAAATCAACGCGCAACGCGACGAAATTCTTACCATCTCGTCACCACCAGATCCATGTTATATATCCCTCTCTTTCCAAAATTCAAATTTCCCGTATTGTCCGTAGACGTTTTCTCAAACCCAATCTAAGAAAAGATGATATTCTTCAACTTCTCCTTCTCACCGCTCTCCTCGCACATACCCCTAAACACACCACCATCCTTGCCCCACAGCTCCTGCGGGCTACCGTACTCGGCGACAGCGCCGTCGCTCAGGACCAAGATGCGATCGAAATCCGCAATCGTGCTCAATCGATGGGCAATGACAATCAGCGTCGAGTCGTTAAACTCCTCGCGGATCGACCGCTGGATGAGTGCGTCGGTCGTCATGTCGACGGCCGAGGTGGCCTCGTCGAGGACCATGACCTTGGGGCGGGAGACGATGGCGCGCGCGAGGCAGAGGAGCTGGCGCTGGCCCTGCGACAGGTTGCCGCCGCCCTCGGAGATGGGGGAGTTCAAGTTGCGGAAGACGTTGACGTTTTTCTGCTGGTCGTTCACGGAGGGCGTCGCGCTCGAGGAGGGCTCGCCGGGCGTGGAGGGGTTCGAGTCGACGAGGTGCACGCGCTGGAGCGAGTCCTTGAGGTCGGCGTCGGTCTGGTTGTCAAAGGGGTCGAGGTTGGAGCGGACGGAGCCGGAGAAGAGGACGGGGTCCTGGGGGATGATGGCGAGGCGGGAGCGGAGCTCGTGGAGCTTGATCTTGGAAATGTCGACGCCGTCGACGGAGATGCTGCCTGAGCGGGCCTCGAGGAAGCGGAAGAGGGCGAGGGTGAGGGAGGACTTGCCGGCTCCGGTGCGGCCGACGACGCCGATGCGCTCGTTCTTCTTGACGCTGAAGGTGAGGCCCTTGAGGACGGGGGAGAGGTCCTCGGCGTAGCTCACGACGAGGTCCTTGACTTCCAGCTTGCCCTCGGTGGGCCAGGTCGCGGGAGGCTCAACGCCGCCCTGGTCCTCGGTCTTGAGATCCGAGTACTCGACAACGCGCTCTGCGGCGTTCATGTCGAGTTCAATGTTGGCGTAGTGGCGGATAGACCAGACGATGGCTTGCGAGAACTCGAGCGCAAAGGAGAGGGTGAAACCAGCGAGGGCGGCGCCCATCGAGGGGCTGCCGAGAACGACGAAGCCGACGGTGGTGGAGAACATGGCACCGATGAGCGACATGCGCCAGCCCATCCAGCGGTTGAAGAGCCACAGATGCCAGGAGGCCATGGCGTAGTCGTCGAGGCGGGTGTACATGGAATCAATGTACGTCTGGGCCTTGTCGGAGCCGCGAATGGTCATCATGCCGACGAGCGTGGAGCCGAAGAGGTCAAAGATGGGCGACTTTGTCGTGCTTTCGAGTCTCTTGGCGGGTCTGGCGCCGGCAAGGTAGCGCATCGCGATCCAGACGGCGATGAGGAGCAGAATGAAGGCCAAGGGGATGATGAGCGGCGAAACGTAGAAGGCGGTGACGCAAATTCCGATGACGCTGAGGAAGGCGCCAAAGACGCCAGAGAGATCCATGCCGAGCCTGTTGTCGATAACGTTGAAATCGGCGGTGAAGCGGTTCAGCACGCGACCGGTGGGAACGGTATCGAGCCATCGGAGCGGGGTGCGGAGCACGG